AGGGAAGCGGTCGGGGTCAGGGAAGCGGTCATGGTCAGGGAAGTGGTCAGGGAAGCGGTTATGGTCAGGGAAGCGGTTATGGTCATGGTCAGGGAAGCGGTCATGGTCATGGTCAGGGAAGCGGTCATGGTCATTGTCAGGAAAGCGGTCATGGTCAGGGGAGCGGTCATGGTCAGGGAAGCGCTCATGGTAGCGGTCATGGTCAGGGAAGTGCTCATGGTAGCGGTCCTGGTCAGGGAAGCACTCAGGGAAGCGGTGACTGCGGTCAGGGAAGCGGTCCTGGTCAGGGAAGCGGTGACTGCAGTCAGGGAAGCGGTGACGGCGGTCAGGGAAGCGCTAATGGTAGCAGTCCTGGTCAGGAAAGCGGTCCTGGTCAGGGAAGCGCTAATGGTAGCGGTCCTGGTCAGGGAAGCACTCATGCTAGCGGTCATGGTCAGGGAAGCGGTCCTGGTCAGGGAAGCGGTCCTGGTCAGGGAAGGGGTCCTGGTCAGGGAAGCGGTCAGGGAAGGGGTCCTGGTCAGGGAAGCGCTCGGGGAAGCAGTGACGGCGGTCAGGGAAGCGCTCCTGGTCAGGGAAGCGCTCAGGGAAGCGGTGACGCCGGTCAGTGAAGCGGTCCTGGAAGCGGTCCTGGTCAGGGAAGCGGTGACGGTGGTCAGGCAAGCGGTCCTGGTCAGGGAAGCGGTGACGGCGGTCAGGGAAGTGGGAACTTAAAATGGTTACAGTTCCTGACTTCAGTGTGCTACACACACAATATTGGTGTCTTTAGAAAGAAGACCGTTTGGGCTTTACTATCCATCATCCAGAGTTGATAATGCTCAAAAGGATAAAAAGTAGTGCCTTGAAACAATTGTACCACACTGAATTTTTTTTTTTTTCATATAAAAATACACGAAATCAGCTCATGAGCTTATATTTCAAATCTGAAGAAAGATACTATGAAAAATTTGATCCCTGCAACCATTTTTCTAAGACTATGTCTAGTCCTAGACTAGACTAGAGGCTAGACTAGACAGCATTCACACTGATAGCTGTCATACACACAGTAATCGCACGCTGATGTGCGGTCATACAGACGGTAATCATGCAGATACAGCCACATTCCCCACAAA